TATATATATATATATATATATATATATATATATATATGTATAATTTATATTATAATATTACATATTAGAATTTTACAGCTGCAAAATGTGTCTCATCCCATCATAATTGACAGTTGGCCAGTTTTACTGTGTTGAGAATTTTGTTTTTGTTACAACATACGAAACTGCTTTTGTACTGATGCTAGATTTATCATTTATTTATGAAAAATGTATTCATGCATTTTATGCATAATCTTATATTTTGGTTTGTGTCCATTAAGTTTGAACAAAAGGAGAAAGTAATCAAATACAATAAATGTAATACACTGGAATATCAGATTACATGGTTACTTCATATACAAACATTTCTGCTGCATATACTGTGATATGCACCATAATCATGATAGGAAATGACTCATTAAGGGGGTCCGAGACGAATGGATGGCCCGCTCATCTGAGGAGGAGTTTGGTCATACCTCACACTGCACAGAGACGTATGAAAACAGAAACAGCATGTGGAGCACAGCGCCTGCTGATAGCACGCTCCAAACCAATTCATCATCCCTGCGCTTATAGAGCTGTTGTGCTTCTGTACAGCACCGCTAGCCTACACACTCGCAAAAGCATTAAAAGCAACTCATTAAGTCTGCAGAGCGTGTTGCATCACAACAAAAACAATGTAGAGCTCGCTCCGGCTCATCAGCAACATTAGCGCTTTGTCAGCCAAACAAGCTAACTAGCTGCCTGCTCGTGTTGTTCGTCTTTTGCTTAAAAGCTTCTTACAGGTATATTGGGGATTGTTTTTTTCCCACTTTCCCTGAGTGTGAACTTAATTACTCTGTCAAAGAAGAGGCTCATTAGCGCCTTGCTAAGACTCCCGTACTCTGGGAAACACCGCGGCACGCTCATCCAGCCGGCTAACACGCCAGCACCTGATAACAAATAGTTTTCCATTTAAACACCTTGCTTTTCCCTCTAAACAGCTTCTTCTTTCTTCATTAAGTAGACAGAGATGTATTTCAGTGGGCGATCGTCTCTCTGTAGGGGTGATGTGGCGTAGCGGCTGAAGTTATGCCCTCGATCATGACGCCTAACCCCGGGCTAATCCTGAGGGGATTGTTCCTATAACAAGTGTACTGTGAGTCGCTCCGGATGAAAGCGTCCGCTACATGCGCTACCTACTGAGCACTTAAAAAATTCAGCTTAAAAAAATGCATAAATAAATAAATATTTTAACGTCATCTAAATGCATGAAAAATAAATACATAACTTCTGCTAAATTAATAAAAATAACCAATTTAGGCTAAACTTAAATGTATAAGTAAATAAATAAATAACTCCAGCCAAATATATAAATAACTGATGCTAAATAAAAAAAAAGAATAATAAAATAACGTCAGTTAAATGAATGCACAAGTAAATAAATAGATAACATGCAGAATGAATGAATGAATTAAAATATCTTCAGAAAAATAAAAGCACAAGTAAAAAAAAAAAAATTATTAAATATTATTATTAAAATATAAATAAATACTTTAAATTAATCTAAATAAAATTAATTAATTAATTAAAATTACTCTGATATAAAATTATGATCATATTTAAATATCTAATTTACATTCAGCTAAATAAATACTTAATTTGTAAATGAAAAATAAATTATGGTAACTAAAAATAACTTCAGCTAAATAAATAAATCAATAAATTCAGCTAAAAAAATTAATTTCAGCCAGTTTTCCATTGATTTGCTCTTCATAGCTAGGTTTAATTCTAATTTCGGAGGCTGCAGTTTTTACACAACAAAAAACTAATGTTCTGCCATGACAGTAGTTGATGTGAAAGAGAAAACTAAATGTAGAAGACAGTTTATGCTAAAGCTTGCTACAGAGTCCCTTGAACAGCACATACTGGTGCAGGAACGCAACGGCGCAGAAAATCGCAATGTAAAGTCTTCCCTATAGATCTGAAGCGAGCACATGGGGACAGACTGAACCCGCCAGATGCCGCTCACACATCCTGACGGCACTGTAAACTGTGGCAGTCTGACTTAATTTGAACTTCACTGCCAGGAGCCGGAGAAAACAACACGATCAAAGTCAGACTAAATGGAGTCTTTCCTGCGCCGGTGACGGCACTCACCACGGGCGTCTCCTCACATCATACAGGTCAATCTTGTTGGGCGCTCTCCACTTTGTGGCTACAGAGAGAACAGGACACACTCAGAGTTTGCTGGCAGAAATGGATGTACTGTGGTTTACAGCAGGGTTTCCTACAGAAGAGCTTTACCTGGGTAGTATCTGGTGACTCCGGTGGCGCTGCCGAACACCTGCCAGCGCAGCGAAGGATCCTCACGACTGTTTTCAATGAAGGCCCTCTCCAGAGACTGAGTCCAGTTCAGCTCGTTCAGGATCGTGGGAGCTGCGGGACACACCAAAATCACACCATTATGACACATCATAGTCTGTGGACAAACATTTCAAACTGGACAAGCTTCAAGCATTCACATTTGATTTCAATTTTGCTGTTAATTCATATATTTTCAGTCTTTTTAGTTATTATATACAATAATGTTCAAAATGGTGCAAGTATGTTTTTTTTTTTTTAAAGAAATTAGTACTTTTATTCAGCAAAGATGCATTCAATTAATCAAAGGGGACATTAAAGGCAATTATAATGTCTATTTCAAATAAATTCTGCAAAGTTTCCCACAAAATATTACGTGGTTTTATTACAGTATTTATTTATTTTTATCACTGATAATAAGCAGAAATGTTTCTTGTGCAGCAAATCAGCATTTAAGAATGATTTCTGACACTGAAGACTGGAGTAATGATGCTGAAAATTCAGCATTGCATCAGGAATAGATTACATTATTCATTACATTAATGTAATGAATACATTATAATTAAAATATATTCAAATAGAAAGCAATTATTTTTCAATTGTAATAATATATCACAATATTACTGTTTTTACTGTATTTTTGATCAAATAAATGCAGCCTTGGTGAGCAGAAGAGACTTCTTTGAAAGACAAAAAAAAAGCTTACTGATCTCAAACATTTGAGATTTGATCGTAGTGTATTTTAATTTCATTTTCATCCTTATTATACAATTTGGCATCCTTTTTCTATATGTCTTTACATTTTGTGCTTTATAATACTATATGTGCTTCTTACAAATAAAATATTCATTATTATAAAAAATGTTTGTGTTTGATTTAAGACAATCCATAGAGGTGATCTGTTGAAGAACATGCTAACCGAAAGGGAATATGGCCTTTTAAACCGCTGACAAACAAATCTCCTTATATCCACAAACAATATCAAACCAAAAAACAAAAAGCAGATATTTCTGATAACAAGAGACACACACATCAGAACTCCATAAATATGGAAATATTCAGAGAAGCACTTGTGACTGTTGCGAACGGTGTCCGAGGAGAGCGTCCACACATCACGCCTGACCTTGAGCAAGGTCATCACTGTACGGAGAGAGAAACTGCTTGCTGCTGATCCTCACACACTCTTAAAGGAGAAGCCAGGAATGGTTTTACAATAGAAGAAGATCTAGAAGATATGTTTATTCTCTAGTTCTGCATCTACAGTTTGTCCTGCTGCTTTAAAGAACCAAAGACGCAATATAACATCGAGAATTTAACAAAAAGAACAACCAAAGACACAATGACAAAACCTTACTTGTTAGTATTTACACATTTTATAGGTGGCTGGAGATCATATTATTGGACACTATTTGTATATACTCGTCAAAATTTTTGATCCATTTTGGTCTTAGAAGAGGAAAACAGTACATTTTAAAGTTTAGACTACCATTCAAAAGTTTGGGGTCTGAAAGATTTTAATGTTTTTTTAATGAAGTCTCTACTGCTCACCAAGGCTGCAGTTATTTGATTAAAAATACAGTAAAACAGTAATAATGTGAAATATTGTTACAATTTAAAATGACTGTTTTCTATTTTAATATATTTCAAAATGTAATTTATTCCTGTAATGTAAAGCTGCATTTTCAAACAATTGTGCAATTGTGTCTAATATTTATTTTTTAATTTAATTTATTCATAATTTTTTGATGAATAGAAAGTTAAAAAGAACAGCATTTATTTGAAATAGAAAACTATTTAACATTATAAATGTTTTTTAATGTCACTTTTGATCAATTTAATTGGTCCTTGCGGAATAAAATTATTAATTTTTGAAAAAAAAATAAAAAATTCCGACCCCAAACTTTTGAACGGTAGCGCATTTTATAAATGTTTAGCAGTACACTAACTTTTAGATGACCTTAAATCTAACAGAACTAATCTAAAAGCCACAAAAACACCTTTTTGATTTCAGAGGTCTTTGTGCTTGGTCATACAGTTAATAAATCCATCATAAGGTTAGATCAGCAAGGCAGAAAATGCCATTTATAAAAATACAAAACCAAAACTGTGTCTGAAAACAAAGCCAGCAGCCTAACTCATTTGCTAACCAACAACTGACACAACGTAAAATAGTTCTGTATGAAAATACCGATGGAAACCGGCTTTCAAACGCAGCACATCGTCATGTCTGATGATCTCAAACTAACTGAAGTGAGCTTTAGAGAAGACGAAGCAAATGTTTAATGTGCACTTGTATCTCAGCTCTTCATAAGGAGTCTCAGTGGACAGGATGTTCTGCACACACTGGATTCGGTCGTGTCTTGATATCTTCCCACCTCCGTACACCTGTACACCGCCTGAGAAGGTTTTCAGACCCAGGCGTACAGTAGGTGCGCTAGCTTCATTTAACTGACAGCTCTCTGCAAGCGTACTCCACTTTTGTCCCATGCAGTTTGTCTCAGAGAGCAAGTAAAACTTTTGCAGCGTGTCTCACTCTCAGCTGTCTGTCTGTACTTGCGGCTGTCTGCTCCGCTCAGATCTCTGTTGTTCTCCTCTGTCTCTGTTTGTTACACTCAGCGTGTCAGTAATGTCTCTCCATCTTTCGTGCATCCTCCGTCACCAGCGTCCGATCCACAGCTACCCACCTACATGACACGCAGCGCAAACGCTGACCTGACGCTGCCAGAAAACGTCCTCCTCCGTCCATCTCTTCCTCTTCTCTTTTCCTTCACATCCTTCTTATTGAACTAACACATCTCTCATTCACTTCCTTACTCTCTACTTCCTTACACAAGCATGTTCTATCTATCTATCTATCTATCTATCTTGCACTCTGCACTTGTTACGTCAGTTTCAGAGACATTGGATAACATACTAGCAGTCTCCTCATACTATCTCTGCAGTATGCATTATGTATACAGTTCCCAGTATGTCAACTTTTTTGTATGCATGGAATAACTGGATGATCAACTACATTTGACAAAATGTGCATGCATGCATGCAACCAGAGAACACGAGACTGCATCACAAAATGCAATGCAGTTCACATTTAGTGAGATGCAATTGAAAAAAAAAAAATATATATATATATAATAATATATATTATATAATAAATAATAATAATTACTTAAGTAAAATGAATAGATAAATACTTTTTACATTTTTAATTACATTTAATCAAAAATACAGCAAAATCAATAATACTGTTAAATATGATTACAATTTCAAACAGCAGATTTTTATTTGAATAATGTAATTTATTCCTGTGATGCAAAGCTGAATTTTCAGCATCATTACTCCAGTCTTCATTGTCACATGATCCTTTCAGAAATCATTCCAATATACTGATTTGCTGCTCAAGAAACAGTTCTGATTATTATCAATGTTGAAAACAGTTTTTTGATACATATACATTTTCAGGATTCTTTTATAAACAGAACGTTCAAAAGAACAGCATGAAATAAAAATCTTGTATAGTACTAAACATTACTAACAACAGGTGAAAGTGCACAAATTCTAAATCTATTGCAGCTCTGCTACAGATAATGTTTACTCTTATATTTAAGTATCTGATGTTTAGGCGTGTGTCTTTGAGTCAAGGATACAGCGGTAGGCTCCCACACACACTGTTTACAGTATTATCAGACACGCACAGGGTGGTATATGCAGATTCAACCTCACCAGAGTGGACAGCAGCTGACACACACACACACAGCTGTGGCAGGTCGTCTAAGCAGAATTACGAGGGCTGGGTAGATAAGGAAACAGACGCAAGACAAAGGCCCCAGTTGATTTATTTACCGAGGACGCAACGTGCACCGGACAATGGATAAAAAGAAAAATATCCTCCGATGGAGAATTTGTGTGTGGCGGGGTGGAACTACATGGGGACCATCCTTCAAAATAAGAGCGTGTGTGTGTGTGTGAGAATCCATCACGCACAATCCCTCAGACACTTTTAAGAGCAGCGGTTGTGCTGAACGCTCGGTCTGTTATGGAGCAAAGCGGCACACGAGGAGCGGCCCAGGTTACGAGGCCGATTTATGGGGTGTGCTGAGAGCCAGAAATCCTTCATACCCGATCCCGTCATGCTTATTACTCAGCAAAACAGCTCTACAGGACTCCATGTGCTGGATGAGAGCTGTTCAGTGCGGCTGCTGAATGATGGAGGATATACAAATCATATACAAATCTGTAGTTACGAAAATGTGCACATAAAGAGGCTATATTTATGCTGTTCATTCTAGAATAACTGTTACGAACCATTTCATTAAATAAATCTATAAATTGAATAATTCTGATTCTAATTTCTGGTTGGATCAGAGTTCCCTTTCATTATTAATTCAGTCAGATTTAGATGGATTTGTGAATCTGTTTGATCAACTACCAATAAGTTTATAAGTCTAACACTATTGAAATATTTTATTTTATTTATAATATTAAAATATAATATTTTTGTATTTTGCAAATATATAATTTCATATTTAATTGAATATATATTTTTAGAATATTTTATATATTTACTATTTATTTTATATATTTATTTATTAAATCTATTTAAAAAACCTTTAAGATTACGCAATAAAAATATATATTTTTTTCTTTAAATAATAACATAATTTTAACAATATTTATTCATTTTAACATCAACAACGGGAAAAAAAACCTTCAAAAATGCTGTTACAGCACACCAATCTTTTTAGGTGAGCTTATTGTTTGATTTTTTAATGTTTATATCTGTTTTATGTTACACGTTTCATGCTATATGTGTTTTTATGCTTTATTTCTTTTTATGATATTTTATTGTGCTCGTACTGTGTCATTGAGTGTCATGAAAAACATCCATAAATAAAATGTATTATTATATTGTATTTATTTAAAAAAGGAAGAACTTTTGAACTACGTACTGTTTGAAGAAGTTTTAGAAATTGTCAGCCAGCTCTATCATTTCTTATGTTTGTCAAAATTATGAGAACATCATACACAACTTTACAGAAGAAAAAAAAAGTAAGATGCTGACAAAATTACCATTCATT